AATTCCACCAAGTGAAGTGCAAGAAACCAGATCATTGAAGTCCACCTTATCACAACCTGCACACCCGATCACCTATATATCCATGAACTTACAGTTACGGCTAAACAGCTGGCCTCTGTAGTCTGTAGCTCAGTTGGTTAGAGCGCTGCACTGGAATCACAGGGCCGTTGGTTCAATTCCTACCAGAGGATCTTGTTCTACATTTTATGCAGTCATTCCTGGTCAGGCCTTGAAGTGTATATATACTCACTTGGATTAGAAACCCTAAAAACAGCATTCTGATATTAATTCCACCAAGTGAAGTGCAAGAAACCAGATCATTGAAGTCCACCTTATCACAACCTGCACACCCGATCACCTATATATCCATGAACTTACAGTTACAGCTAAACAGCTGGCCTCTGTAGTCTGTAGCTCAGTTGGTTAGAGCGCTGCACTGGAATCACAGGGCCATTGGTTCAATTCCTACCAGAGAGCATTGTGCTACATTTTATGCAGTAATTCCTGGTCAGGTCTTGAAGTGTATACATACTCACTTGGATTACAAACCCTAAAAACAGCATTCTGATATTAATTCCACCAAGTGAAGTGCAAGAAACCAGATCATTGAAGTCCACCTTATCACAACCTGCACACCCGATCACCTATATATCCATGAACTTACAGTTACAGCTAAACAGCTGGCCTCTGTAGTCTGTAGCTCAGTTGGTTAGAGCGCTGCACTGGAATCACAGGGCCATAGGTTCAAATCCTACCAGAGGACCTTGTGCTGCTTTTTTTCGCAGTCGTTCCTGGTCAGGTCTTAAAGTGTATATATACTCACTTGGATAACAAAACCTAAAAACAGCATTCTAATGTCAAGGCAAAACCCTAGTTTAATTTAATTTAAAACCCTTGTGTCTCATTTCAGAATTGACTACATATGCATATAATAAACGCTGCAATATTACATTCCAGCTAGTATCTGACCATACATTTAACCGCATTTATAGGGCAGAATGTTTTCATCCCTGCTGACCAAACCATTTTGAATACCATGGAATACCAACACCATTTTAGTTTTAGATGCATCCAACACCATTTTGGTTTTGGGTGCATCCAACACCATTTTGGTTTTCGATGTGTCCAACACCATTTTGGATTTGGATATGTCCAACACCATTTTGGTTTTGGATATGTCCAACACCATTTTGGTTTTGGATGTGTCCAACACCATTATGGTTTTGGATGTGTCCAACACCATTTTGGTTTTGGATATGTCGAACACCATTTTGGTTTTGGATGTGTCCAACACCATTTTGGTTTTGGATGTGTCCAACACCATTTTGGTTTTGGATATGTCCAACACCATTGTGGTTTTGGATGTGTCCAACACCATTTTGGTTTTGGATGTGTCCCAACACCATTTTTTTTCTGGATGTGTCCAACACCATTTTTGTTTTGGATATGTCCAACACCATTTTGGTTTTGGATGTGTCCAACACCATTTTGGTTTTGGATGTGTCCAACACCATTTTGGTTTTGGATATGTCCAACACCATTTTGGTTTTGGATATGTCCAACACCATTTTGGTTTTGGATGTGTCCAACACCATTTTGGTTTTGGATATGTCCAACACCATTTTGGTTTTGGATGTGTCCAACACCATTTTGGTTTTGGATATGTCCAACACCATTTTGGTTTTGGATGTGTGCAACACCATTTTGGTTTTGGATGTGTCCAACACCATTTTGGTTTTGGATATGTCCAACACCATTTTGGTTTTGGATGTGTCCAACACCATTTTGGTTTTGGATATGTCCAACTACATTTTGGTTTTGGATAACGGTTTTGGAAACGTCTAACACCATTTTTCTGTTGGATGCACCAACGCCATTTTGGATTGGATGCCACTAACACCACCTTGGTTCTGGTGGATGCATGCATGCCACACCATTCCATAGATTTCTACATACTCTAAACTTACTTAATAACCCAATATCTCTGCGTCTATGAAATTTGAGGATAAGTAATAATACCTCGGTCATATAAAGTTGATGATTATGGAACAAAACTCCTATTTCCTCTTAGTAATGTATCTTCCCACAAAAGTTTGGATAATATTTTATTGCTATTTGATTTTTATCACAGAAACTTGCCAATGTCGACACTGGCATGAACATTAGAATGTTATTCCTCAAATATATCCAGAGTTTTATGCAAGTTTGCTAATTACACAATAAATGCGCGAATTGTGCATGGCATAACAATTAACTTTCTGGACATTATTATTGAAAATTGTAATCATTCTCATAAAAAATCAGTTTATACTTTTTCCATACTGCAATTCAGTTGAAATAGACTTTTCGTCTAAATGGTTGGTTTAAAATTTCTTGTTGAATGAAACGAACATTTGAAAATATTGCAACACAGCCTCGGAGACGTTATGATATTTGCAATTTTTGGCAACCTTTATCCAAAATTTTCAACATTTATTGCAAATTCTTCATGAAATCGTAAGATTTGTCTAAATTTGAGCTGAATAGAATATGCAACCCTATCGTAGAACGTGTTTTATGTATCGACTATAATGTTTACGAAGACGTAAGTTAATTATTAAGCAGGTGTTAGCGTGCGTGCACATGAAATGAACGTTTATAATGTTTATCAATATAAGGAGTTTTTATTTTTAGTTTACCAGCCCTTATATTTGAATAGCCGAATTCATATTAGGGACGCGAAACTCGTCTTAGACGGAAACTCGTCTGTGAAAACCCGCCTGAATATGAATTTAGGGACGGATAAATACGAATTTAAGACAAGTTTCCCGTCTAATACGAGTTTCCCGTCTCTAATATGAATTCAGCTAATGTGTGTTAAAACTGCAAGGTCATTAAATCTCATTAAAATCCCACAGACCACAACGATTATACGTATTGATTGTTTCTTGACGATAGTAGACGCGTACGCATGCATGTTGCGTAAGAGGTTATTTCGCTGGCCTCAGAATGACAAAACGTAACAAAGCTTTACACTAACCCTATTCCAAACACCAACTTTATAACTTAAATCCTTACCATAACCCTTGCTCGTTTTAAATAACATACCGTAGTAAATAATTTAATCACCATTTCTAAGTCTTTTAGTTTTTCGGGACAAAAAACTACTTGAAAAAGACCAGGGCTTTAAAAATTATTTGAAGTAGATAGTTATGATAAGACAGGGGTGGCGCCAGGGCCGCCCTTGCACGGGGGGGGGGGCAAAGGGAGCAATTTTCTCCGCGACCCCAGCTCAAGGAGGGCCGGCAAATACAAATTTGCAAGGGGGTAAAAAGTTTGTCGACGGAGGGGTGGGAGGGCAATTATTGTGGTTCACCGGGGCCCCAAAGATATAATTGGCCCTGGGCGCCATATTTCACTGAGCTGGCCTCGGCTGCGCCAGTAATTCTCCGACGGGGGAAGTCATCGGTGC